GTGCAGCACATTTCAGATGGGCAGGCCCGTCATACAGCCAGCAAGAAACAAAACGTTCCGACTCGCCTTTAACAGAGCATTTCGGGAAATTACAAGTCATAATGATAATACGCAGCAATAAGGAATTTTAAATAAAAATATGAAAAATTAAGTAATAAAAGTAGAAAGAGAAATGACAAAAATATTTATAACAAAATAAATGCAATATAAGTTATCAAAGGCAACAACCAATGTAACGAGCAGTTTGAGATGCACTGTGATACCCGAAAAGTAAGAAACTCGCAAACAGCTGTGAACAAAGATGGAAAACGAATAAAAACAAGAAAGAAATTTAGATAAGAAATTAAGATAATTAACACCAACAACTGCACTATTTTGCAACATAGCAACAAGAACAAATTGAAAGTGACTCGGCGGAATAGATTAAAATTATCAACACACAATTTAAGTAAATTTCAAATGCTTTAATAGAAAAATATCACAGGGATACTTATCTGTACGGATCACTCAATTCAAAAATTTTCACAACAAAATATAAATTAAACAAATTTACAGGAGCTCGAAATTACACAGCTGAACACGAGAGATGCCAGATTAGATTCTTTAAGGGAATTATTACTGAACAATTTTACTCCGTTAAATTCATTACTTGTAGGTTTGTGTGCTGGAAAGTGGAAGAATGAAGTGGAATTTAAAAATGTGTTGTATGGGAAAAAGGCATGGTGGTAATCCGATTTCGCCAATTTTCAAATTATGATATAGGAATATTTAGAAACCGCTACGTAAATTTAGTTGAAATCGATCTTTCGGGTTCGAGATATGTGATTTCATCAAAAAGTTTCCAGTGCTACGCCCATCGTAAAATTTTCGGAGGTGAAATTTAATGCTTCTGGCGTATTTAGTTATTCATTTATTGCACTTTTAGTAGTTCTGAACAGTACCGTTATATGGGGAGTGAGCGGGTTATCTATAGGTAGGAATTCTTATAATATTCAAGCTCGGCAACTTTGGTTGCTGTAGCTTTAGTGACATAGGCGATAAGCACATTTAACTTATTAGAAGGCGGGGCCAAGCCCATTTAAAAAAAAAAATCCTCCCACAGATGCCCCTTGGTCCTGCGATCCCTTGGGCCAAACTGCAGTTTAACATATTAATTAAGTATTTAGTTATGGCAGTTGATATGTTTTCGTTTAATGGAGATTTATGGGCGTGGCAGTGGTCAGATTACGCCCATCTACGGATTCGAAATTTTTTTATACTAATGAACCCACATACTAAGTTTCATTAAGGTATCTCAATTTTTACTCAAGCTACAGCTTGCACGGACGGACATACATATAGTCAACCGGATTTCAACTTTTCTCGTCATCCTAATCATTCATATATATACATATATAACCCTATATCTATTTGGCTTAGTTTTGAGTGAAACGTATCATCGTTAGGTGAACAAAACTATAGGCGTGTTTTATTTTAGCGTCAGAAGCTAAGAGCTAAATCATGGACAAACAAAACGTACTTAGCTTATTGCATATAAATATGAATTGGATTGGTAATGCGGAAAAGACCAATCTGCAATCAATTTAGTTTGGAAATTTCAAATTTGTAAACGGACGATTAATATGCTACACAAATATATTTATTTTAGTTATTTGAGGTCTAGAGTACAAAAAATTGAAAACAAGTCTTCATATTTGCCCTAATTTTAACTCAATACTCATCCAAAAAATATATAATTTTCATTTGTTTACATTTTATCTGTCAAAATGAGGTTTCTCGCTTTGCCAACTTTTTTTTTTTTTTTTTTTTTTTTTTATTT